TACACCACGAACGCATGCTAAGAAGGCGGGAGAAATACCTTATATACTGCCCCTTTTAAACGGCGACTGGGAATTAGGGGACTCAATCTCCAAATCCTGGTAGTGGAAAATCATCATCCACCACGTATTTTAGTTCGGACGCCACTGTAGAGGTATTAGGTACTTTTTGAAAGCAGGAGAGATGAAAAAAGGAGCAATGCCCTCGCCGGGACTCGAACCAAGGATCTCTCGAATACGTGTCGAGCGTGCTGACCACTACACCACGAAGGCATGCTAAGAAGGCGTTAGAAATACCTTACAAACTCTTATACACGGGTGCATAATTATTAATATTGTTGAGGAATTGCCTTTCATTGACTCTATCTCTTTTAACTTTAGATGCTTTAAGTTTATATATATATATATATGTGATGTATCAGCTTTAGTCGTAGCTTAAATAATCAGACGATAAGTTTAAAAAAAAACAGGATTCATTTATTATTATTCAAGAGAAATAGCAGTTACAAAAATTATATATCCGGAGTGGATCCTACTAATTTGCAGACTGTAGTTTTGCTTAGCAGTTCTTTATTTGACAACATTTTAAAATTTTATACGGATTGGCTTATTTCTGAACTAGTTATAGCTATTTTTTGTGATTTTTCCTTAATTTTTGGAAACCAGTGTATTTTAGCGTTATTTATTGAAATACGAAAAACGTTCTTGTTTCATTTTAAAGCTTTGCTTAGTTTTATTACTAAACCAATGAAGGTATAAGAAAAGTTACTTTTACACTATTTTACGGAGTTTAATATGTGAAAGCTCAATTCCAAATAATATTTGACGTTGTGTCCAGATCGTTGATTAAAAGTACAGATTAGTTCAAAACATATGGAGTGAGAAACAGTTATACTGGCGAATCACCGCTGTCTTTTATATAACGTAATGCGATCTTTTAAAGGTTGAATTTTTAAATGCTTGTCCTTTCGAAAGTTACTTTACATCTCAATTACAGGCATATTTTTAGACGATTAATTTCTAGATTTTAAAATTATTATACATATTTTTAGACTTTTATTGTTCTGGGCAAACATAAAATTTTAGGTCTCGAGATAAAGCTAAAGAAACAGGCGATCATTTCACAACAGTTGGCTTTACCCTTGTGTTCAGTAAAAAGCGTGTTGAGCAGTTGTAGCAGATTTAAATTTTGTGTACCATAAACATTCACTGTACTATTTGTCGCACGGTCGCTATCTTTATATGAAAGGCCCTAGCGTTATTATTACTGAGCAAAGTTTGGGTATCAGGGTCACCTCGTCTGAATATACAGCCAAAATTCGGACATTTTCCAATTATTTTGATATAAAAATTAAGAAGATATATTTGTGATAAATCCCAATATAGTGATTTAAAGTCAGGCCCATTGTATTCGATGATTTTGTGATAATCACCCTCAAACGAGGTTTGCGAGTGGCCAGTATCCTAAGATTTTATAACAAGTCTACGTTGACGATTTGCGTATATTAAAAAAGAAATAAAAGGCGCTTGATGCAACAAAATGAGTCACAAGAATTTGAAAACAATGACTATGTGTTCTGGAAGACTTAGAAATTTACTTCTTGTGTGGTACGATATACGATGTGTGGCAGATAAATGAGAAGAGATTAGCAGACAGACAATACTCTGATAGAAAACTTTATCGGAGATAAGCCATGGGTCTTGTACACCAGCCTCGTAAATGAACTGCCAGGTACGTCGACAAATAATGGTTTCAAGGCGAGCAAGTGGTGGTTTAATAACTTTAAGAGAAGAATGGCATGCATTGTGTTATGAGGCACTGGGAGGCACCGGGAGTTCGGATGCCGAGAAAACTGAGGCATTCGTAGCCGAGTTCCACAAACTTACGATTTCTGAGTGTTCGTTGCAGTAGCAAATTTTTGGATGTGATGAGACGAGGCTATTTTTGAGTTTAAGTTGTGAAGAAGTTCTCAGCTGCAGCAGAAAAGAATTCAGTGCCCAGTCACAATCTCCATAAATGACCGTCTTACCTTCTTGTTGTTTGCTAATGCAACCGAACTGCTTTTGTAATATTTATTGAATCCACTAACATTGAAGAAATAAAAAGTGTAAAAAGCCAGTTTAGAGTTATGGACAGGTCAAATAGCAAGGTTTGAGTCGCTCGTATATTTTTCACTGAGTGGATCAATAGGATGTTTTGTCGTGCAGTAAAGAAATATGTTTCAGGAAGGGATATAACTGTTTATGGATAATGTTTATGCTAATTCTCTAGGCCTTAAAAAGCTTACTGGAGGAATTCGAGTTCATTAAGGTCAAGTTTCTCCCTCCAAGCTTTATTGATCAATAGGTTAATTTGAATCCCAAAATCTTTACTTCAAAGCTCTGTAGAGACATTAGGTTTTTTTTTTTTTTTTGAAGCAGGAGACATGAAAAATGAGTAATGCCCTCGCCGGGACTCGAACCTCGGACCTCTCAAATACGCGCCGTGCATGCTGACCATTACACCAGGAAGGCGTGCTGAGAAGGCGGGAGAAATACCTTTTAGCCCTACATCTACAAATCTTGGATGTGCTAGAAAGAATAAAATATTACTGTCCGAGAGTTTTAGAAAAATCACTTACATATCATGAACAGCATGAATACCATCAATAAAAATCTGGAATGGAGTTAATAACTCTCACTTTTACTTCAGGGGCTTAAGAGGAGGGATGCTTTTGTTGAAGACTTTCTAAGAGAAACTGGCTTGTATTAACATTAAGCATGGGGTAGGGATTAAGAGGGTGTGATAAATGTGGGAAAGAATGCAAAAAATTAGAAAAATACCACTCAAATAAAACAGTTGTAGTGAAAGCGATGAATTTGTTCCCCGACAGTGAAAATGTCGCATTGCCACGAAATTCTCAAAAATGACCAAAATCGGCTGTCATTGGAGAGATAAATTGTTAAAGTCGTACAAAAAGAAAAAGAAAAAGAAAAAAAAAAAAAAAAACTAATTTCATCAATTTTCATTTAACATTTTTCGCGATTTAGAAAAATTCTTCTATGAAAGCAAATTATGTTATACAAAATGTTTTTTTCTTTTTAATTAATAAGGGAAAAAGAGGAGGACCTCAAAGAGCATTACAAATTCATCTAAATCTTCAGATATTTAATTTTCATTATTTGGCTAAGCTGTTTATTAATGTTTTGATTGAAACTTTATCCTATTTTTGGCAAAAGGAATCAGAATGAATAAATTTGCCCTATGAAAAAATTTAATTTAAAACAATGATTCTTCAGTACAAGCTGATGCTTTAACTGTCTGCTTGCCTGAGTGACAGTTCCTAGGTTGGTTGCTTATTTTGGAATTAGAAAAACCTTGTTTTTAGCCTACGAATAAAGCAGAACTGAAAAAGACAGGGAACTTCATTCTTTTTTCAGATTTAAAACTTAAACAGATTAACAGAGTTTTAGAGATAAGGGTTTAAAATGTACTTTTATTTAAAAATTTATTTTAAGCATATATGAAACGTTTGCTATCCTTGAAAATTTCTAAGGAAACAAGATTAAAATGCAAGCTGCAGCCAAAGAAAAATATATTTTAAGAGTATGTAGAAGAAATAAAATGGCAAGCATATAAAGCATATGATTAGTTGATAACAATAAAGATATATCCTAATATCATAAGGATATATCATAAGGTAGATACTTATGAATCATAATTCCTTTGTTCATGGAAAATTTAAGAGGAAAGATCCTTTTGAAGGTTGGTGTTGGTGTATTTAATTATGGCAAAGCACACTAAGGCTATCTGCCAAAGGGAAGGGATGCCTTCGTGGAGGACTTTCTAAGGGAAACTGGCTCGTATACACGTTACACATGGGGAAAACTACGAAAGCGCCTATGCAGCCAGCCCGTTCGCGGGATTCGAACCTCGGACCGAACTACCAGTGTTCAGCGACTTTACCGCTTGGACGCTGGTGGGCCAACCCTTTTGAAGGAGAAATTTGAATCTCCGTTTTGAAAGAGTTTCGATGTGACAAAATGTGTATAGTAAGAACTGGAAAATTTATGATAAGCAGTTCGCTGAGTAAACTATTCTATATGTTTACTTTCTTAAGAATATAAAACTATATGCTTTTGAATTGAATCAAATTTTGTTTAAAGAATGCAGTGAACAGTTTTCGGAAGGTTTGTTATGAAATTCATAGCTAATTTATCTTAAAAGGAGATGATGTTATTTATCTCAATACATGCAGACGCTGTAAAGTAGCAATCTTCATGCGAATTACTTTTATTAGCCAAATAAAACTAATGTTTTCTCAAAATGCTGTTGAAAGCAAAAACTGGAATAGAGGATTATTACAAAAATGTCCTTTAACGTTTTCCTTTGATGTCACAAAACTGTATTATTAAACACAGTGTATAAACTACAGTGTTCGGATTTCATGTAAGCATGGAAATAAGTTTAATATTGCAATTTAATTTTCAGATATAGTAAAAAGAATCAGTGATATGTTTATTTGTCCTATTGCATGTTTCTAACTACCGTGGATGCGAGAAAATATCAAAAAATATTAAAGACTAGAACGTGAAATTGAGCTAGAAAGTGAAATTGGAATTTTTCTCTCCTGTTATAGGAGGTTACTTGAAAAGCAATGTATGTAAGTTTCTATCAATCTAAATATAATTATTTGCTTTTTATTTCCTTTTATTTTACACAGATCTTTCCCTAAAATGCTTTAGGTAGCCAAGCCTTTCTCTGAGGCAATAGGTACTTTTTATTTTGTTTCAAGGAACAAACAACAAAACTGGTAGACAAGCAACACTTCAGAGGCTAAACGCTTTCTATTTCTTCTTCTTCTTTTTTTTTTTTTATCTTTTTTTTTTAAACATTTGCTTACAGACATCTTTACCCATTCATAGTTTTTTTCTTGTTCTACTTTTGTTCTTGACCATATTGATGTCGCATCTAATAAAAGACACACCTATTGCTTCTAGACGCAGGTGCTTTAGGGGGAAAAAATCAATAATGACTTTCTTTTACCCTCCGATCATTTTTCTCAAGCCTACTCTTGAAACAGGAAGTTGCTATAAAAGTGAAAGGCATGGCCTGCTGCTAGGAGTTCATTGAGCAGCTTCTGTATGTGATATACAAAATGAGATTTGCGGTAAGTTGTAATTTATAAATGATAAATTTTTCTCTCCCTTTATTCTATTAGAATTATCTTCTATGTGGCAAAAATTTTGAGAGTTTCTGTGGCTGGAATTTTTTCCAATTTCAGTTTGTTAACCAGTTAGTTAGTTTTGTAATTTTTTTTGTCTGTTCTTGTTCATTCACTTTAAATGCAATGTAAATGTATAATGTTAAAAATTTAAGACTACGGATTGGTCTGACTGATGGAAAATTAACTTAAACAGCAATGCGCTATATGCTTCAAGTGCTGCCCGATACTAGCTAACTATAAGAATTTAAATTGTAGCTGGTGCGATTTGTATATTCAAGTTATAGTAGTAGATTTTCTAAGACGAATCAAAGCAGACATGCTTGGTGATAAATTATATTGTTGTAGTAAATAGTAAAGGGGATTTGCTTGCATGTTGTCAGGCTGCAAGTCACAGTATCTTTCTTTCGTTTTATTTAGAATTTGCGAAATCCAAACTGAAGTTGAATTAATTTAAATTTTTTGTTTCCAATTTGTGCGTTTGTTTACATATTTGACATAATCAACTGCTATACTTAAGCGATAACTCACTGTGAGAGAAAGCAAGCCCGCGAATTGATTAGTGAAGGCAGTAGTACGCATTTGAAGTTCAGAATCTTCTCATTTAGAAATATGATTTTACAATAAAAAGTGTTTGTGAGATAAATGCAGTATGTCGCTGAGTTTTTTTCTTTCTCTTGCTTTGTAACATGTTTAAATTTAACTGTGCATATGCTACGTAAACCGAAATATTAGAATTAGGGTTTCTTTCATTATTTTTGGATTCTTCTTACAATAAGTATAAGAAAGTCATTTCAGTTGCCATCTTGTAAAACATATTTTTTTAATTAGAAACCCATTAACAATTTAATTTTACCATAGATATAAAACAGTGTCCAAAATGTACATCTCAAAAATTTATTTTGCAAAACAGCGCTTTAGAGCGGAGAGTTTATTGGAAAACTCTTATATATACATATATGCTATCTATATATAACATAACGCTCTCTCTATATACATATATAAGGAAATATATCAAACTATTATATACATATATACATAGATAGATAGATAAGGGAAATGAAAGTTCTTGTGGCATTTAGAAGATGGCAGCGTAGATCTAGAAGATAACCGTTAAACGGCGAGGTACTTTATCTGCCTCATTTATTTGGAGAGACCCCAATGCGTAACTTAAAAAAAAAAAAAAAAAAAAAAAATAAGGAAACAATTTCGACTAAACGAACACATTAATTTATTCGTGAACATTTTTGCAGTCCACACCATTCTTGGGAGCGTGATACATTCCATAATTTTTGCATGTATCAGTTTACATCTTAGTAATGAACACAGCGGAGCGCGTTTGCTTGAACAAGCGACACGAAAAAAAGTACTACGCAGTTAATCTCAATAGTTTAGTAAAATTTTCCTTTGATCTGAATGGATGAGATTTTATCGCATTGCAGGCATGGTTACATAAATTAATTAATTTTGAAAGACGTTTTTTAGATAACATTATTATTATGTTTTGAGTAGAGAGGGGAAGTACCCAAATCAAAAAGAAGAAGTAAGGGGGTATTGCTAATTTAAAATATAATTTACAGTTACCTATTTTTTATCGTACATATTGTATATAAATAATATATAATATATAGTGTATATATATATGTGTGTATATATGGTGTACATATGTGTGTATATATATATGGTGTGTATATGTGTGTATGTATGTTGTGTTTATAAATATATTTCTGTATGAATAAGTATGTATACACGCACATATATATATATATATATTATGTGATAATTATGTTCTAGTATATATATATATATATATATATATGAGTCAGCATTATGCGCAAAAATTTTTAAGACCAAATAGGTCTTACGTCTCATTACTTGTTAGCTTTACAATTTCTGTTTAGATTATATATATATGAGTGTGTAAATACTTTTATATATAAAATTTAAGAATCAGCTACTGTAACTGTGTTACGATTTTTATTGATACATTTTAAAAAGTACTTAAGTCGTATTGTATACATTCTAAAATTGCTTCAGACCCTTGGTGCAGAGGGAGCAAATAGGCATGCTTAGAAGGAATTAAATTTGCACAACTCCAATGACACACTTGCATTTCAAATGGAATTATGAATGTGAATCTAATAATATCAGTTACAGGCCATATAAATAGTCAAGAATTTAAAACACGCTATATGTTGATAATCTATTAGGATTATATTATGTAACTATTTTTGCTGCATCATATTTAATTTTATCAAATTTTAAGTGATTTATGCTGACACATTCAGTTTAACGTATATCTTTACTAGCTTCAGGCATTATTGGCAACAAATTAATAATGTAAATATTTTTATGCAGGTTGCTTTTAGTATACTCTTTGCAAGTTATGTGGCAGTAGAAGGAACATACGATCTTTTCCCCGATTCACACTTCAGCTCGACGTATATTCCAACTAAAAGTAACAATGACTGGATTGCATTAAGTGGCAAACTGAAAGATTTTTCGAATGATTATGGCCAAGTATATGGCATAGTGGATTCTATCTCTGGTTCATATCCTTCATTTTATCGCCAAATTACAAAAATTCCTGTTAAAGGTGGTATTACTATTGTACCTGCTCCAAAAAATCTTGGTTCTTTTTCTAATGCTTTATATTTGGAAGATTATTCATCCGTAAATCAAGTTCCTCACATTAAAGTGCCTCCTCTCGACATTTATGGAAAACTAGGGTCTAGTGGTTACTTATACCAACTGAAAAATGTACCTGTTCACTTTATTTCTAGTCATCGCCCTCAGACTCTCAGTTACCACACTACAATTGGATTATCCCCAGAGATTCATTATGATGGAAGTCTATTAAATTACGATAGTTCTCAGTTGCGCAGTTCCATACCCAACAAAAATTCTGAATATAATGAAAGAATTTATCGTCATGGTATATTCGGTAGTCGTTACGTTGATGAAGACTATCATCATGGGAACTATGGTGACAATCAAGAAAGTCTGATTTCTCCTTATCACGAAGAAGGAAATCTGGCTATCATACCCCACAATCACCAAGTTCATGAAATATCCCATCAAGAAAACTCTGGAATACCCGACAAGCATAATCTGGAAGAAAGAGATCATTCTGTTTATGAAGAGAATCATTCAGCTCATGAATCTGAGCCCGAGGATGGAGGAGAAATTTTGAATTCCCACAAGGTTCCAGAAGAAAGCTTACATGATCATGGCAGAGATCTTGGAAGTGGCCATTTCACAGAACACAAAGTAATTCATCAAGATGATGAAGAGAAAATTTACGTAGATGAAGTCCATGACCAAATTATTGGGCCTATTTATAAAAAATACGTAATTCCCACTATTGCACATTTCGAAGAAGATCAGGTGGCAAAGTATCCTATTCAAGAAGAAATACAGGAAGATGATTTGAAAATTCAGAGAAATCCTAGCAAACTTTCAGGAGTTTCTGATCAAAATATTAAACTGGAAGATTATGACGAAAACCAAAAAATACAAAATCCAACAAGCGATGTGAAAAATGAACACAGTGATTTGCAAGGAGGAAATTACGGTAGCGAAGTGCAGCAGGAAAAGCAATCAGAAACACAGCCTAATTATGAAGCATCCTTAATACAGAAGGATAAAGAGGAACTGCCGTCTTTCCCTTTTTCAAATGCTGCGCAAGATTCCTATGATGGTAAAAAGTACACAGGAGGAAAGAACCCAATTCTTTCTGAAAATGTACCTATCGAGCAAAACATGTATAAGCCAGCTCAGACTGTGAAACCTTCATCTGCAGATTCGTCAGATAATGAACAAAAGAAATATGATCAGCAGGAAAAAATGAAAGATTATAAAATTGAGCAGAGTACCATAACAGATGGAAAAACAAACTACTTACCTAATGAAGACAAAGCTGGTAGCTACGAACAAATATCCAATAATAAAAACTCGGATTACAAGTTCGAGAATGAACAGTCTGGAGGTAGAAGCAAACAATATCGTAAATACGAGAAACCGAGATCTAGCAGCTATGAAATAGAAATTCTACACTCTAATAGAGATGGTTACCAACATTCCACTCCATATGAGCAATTTTCACAAGTAGAAGAGCTAACGTCCCAGTTATACCCAAAAAGTCGGAGTCAAGAGCTTCGGAAACAGTCTCAGCCAACAGAGGCAAGACAAAATACATATCAAGAAAATTCTCCTTTAGAACAGAAACAAGTTTTTACTGATGGGCCCAAAGAAAGAAAGTATTTAGAACACAAATTTATTTATACTGAACAGAAGCAAGATACGAAGGATAGCGTGGAAGGTTATAATAGATAGACTACGAGTAAATGCTATCATCCATACCATCTGTATAGTAACGAAAAGGTAAGTTCTGCCTTAATATATTTTACTTTATATTTTAAATAGGGTTCTTTAGTAATGATATCAAACAATATTCTCTGTATTAACATCTTCCAAACAAATTGAGATCCATGGTGGCATGGGGGTCCGATATTTAATAAAAGAATCCTCGATATATTTTTCAAATTAAATTTGATATCTTATGCATCTTCAATGTGAAAAATTTCATAGTTTAGAAGCTAATGAAATCCAAACCTTGAACTTCCTGATATTTGTTTGTGTATGAAGAATAAATCACACAGAACATTATCAAGCAATTTATTCTTTTCTATCCAATATATTTGTGCAAAAAAGATTTTTTTAAGCCTTAAGAAACAAATATCGAAAACAAAGCAATTTGTTTTTATCAAACATAAAATTTCGAAGCTTAATAATAAGTCAGTGATATATACATTAAAATATTCTTCTATATAAATTCTCTTTTTCAAATATTTCCCCTCTTTATCGAAATGTATTCTGCTAAAACCATCAGTGCATCGTAGTTTGATTTTTTAAATTAAGATAACTGCACTTAATTAATAATTAACTGCAAGGGACTGACTAATTAAATAATTAAACCTAAACACAAAATATAAAATTAAGTTATTATTTTTATTATGCCATACATATTTTTTGGAAAAAGGAGCTCTTTAATTGAGTGCAATATAGTGACAATTGCGGCAGCGGTTATCATAATTTTTTGTTTTCTTATACTATATATATATATATATATATATAGATATATAATCCCTTATTAAAAAGGGAAATTGTCGATGTTAATGCTTCAATTTGAGTTATTAATTTTCTATTAAATTTAATGCTAAAATTAACTTATACTTTACGTAGCTTTTCATTCTCAGGCCGACCAGCGCCGAGCGGTAAAGCGCGAATTCTGGTAGTTCGATCCGAGCTCGAATCCCGCGAACGGCGGCTGGTGTTTTCGTGGTTTTCCCCATGCGTAACGTGTATACGAGCCAGTTTGCCTTAGAAAGTCCTCCACGAAGACATCCCTCCCTTTAGGCAGATAGCCCTCGAGGCTTTTCCGTAATTAAATAACCTAATAACCTTTCTATTCTGCAGCGAAGACGGGAACTCTATGAAGAAATTCATTGCTTTATTTTTTAGAACTCTAGACAGGTGTTCCTTAAAATGAACAATACCATCCCCTGGAGGGCGTTTAGAATAACCAAGAAGATTGATACTAGCGCTGGAGTTTAGGCTTAAGATGGTAGCAAGATATATTTAATGCAAAACAATAGATCACTAGCATTTCAGAAAACTGGGCTAGTTGTCTAATACCTAGTAGGTTCATTTTTGAAGCACAGAACTACAGAAACAAGTCCATGGGTTCCAAGGTCTATTTTAAAGAATTTGAAGACAATGATTATTAAAACAACGCTCCACAGTTTTATGATGATCATAAGTAGTGGATCTTCGCTTAAAATTTACCGTTGCATGGCATATCAGATCAGGTCACTGACGAGATATGATGGTCAAGAGGTCAATTTCATAACTCTAATTCAGATGAATTTTTCTGTAAACCATTATTAGGTAGCTGTGAACGTGTACGGCTGCAGATGATATTGATGGAAGAGGATAAACTCGCATGTCATAAATGGGTGTAGAATATCCGAAAGAATGCTAGGTAAGTCAGAGAAGCGTTCAGACATGACTATAACATGAAAAAGGTTAATTTGTGCGTGCAGATCACACTCATACAGAGTCACTGCCAACTTGTAAAGTCTCTTGCTGACACGCTCGATTCATTGATTGAGTCCCTAGTTGAAAACGCGGATCATTCTTCTAGAGCCCAGGGTCGAATTTCTTGAATCTAGACGAAGTGCATATCTCAAAATACTTTCAGATTTATGTTTTAAAACAAGGAACGGTATTCATATTAGAAATTACTCTACAGTTAAAACTTATATATTTCAGAAAGCGTTGTACAGTCCTCCCAAATGACGTTTACACAATTTGCAGTAATGAATTGCAATGTTATTTGAAACAGTGTTGTATGAAATAATTCCTAACAATTAGCATTTGTCGCGATCCACTATTTTTCGATAGTCACAATGTTACTGTACATTCGACATTCTGCGAGATTTCTTGAATTCGAGGTGTGCACTCCAAATGTCATCCGAAAGCGAATACTCGCGTCACGAGCATCTTCTGTATACCGCATTGAAAGCTGTTTAAATCACGAAAATTTTGCAGAAAAAGTGCAAGGGCCACCTACTATGTACTCTTAATAAGCAGATATAGGCCCCCTTAAACTATCTATTCAGATTAGAAACACCTTCCTGGGGCTCAGGGTACTGTTCTGGTGCCGAGGTGCTACTGTAGTCTAGGGCAATCGACATCGCAAGCTCTGCCACCGCTGACGGTGTCACCGGTTGTGCCGTCTTAGAATCTTTAATTGAGTACGATATCATTGCATGTTTATCATTCCTAGCCATTCATTCACACAACTTATGTACTTAGCTTCTTTACACACTTTGGTTCTTGTTGAGCACTTTAATTTTTTTAGAACAACTGTGATTTACTCATACTGATGCTTTGACATGCTGGTGTGTTTAGATGCTTGGAGACTGGGCGTGATTTGAAATGCTTTTATTATTTGCTATGACGGCTTTCAGCTAGAAATTCAAACAAAAATCATTGGGGAGGCTTCTTTGCATATTAGTTTGGGTGGGATCACTCTGTGTTGCATAATTCTAGATCCCTTTGATGCCAGAATATCCATTGGTTGGATTATTTGCGCCTCCTCATATAGCTATCATTGTCTGCGCATCTGAGGTACGGATTCACATCTTGTTCTAGTCTTGGTCTTCTCAGGCAAAGACTTGTTTTAATGATGCATGTGAATAGACAATGCTCTGGACCTCCCCTCTCCCCCCCCATACGCGTAAATCTGAAAGTGCGAAATTGTAGAAATACGTGGGGAAAGGGTCATGTGGGCCTGAGATCAGCCATGTTATTTGTCTACTGATGACTTCTGAGGTGGAGTTTATTCTCTGATATGGGTCATATGTGTGCTTGCCCTATTCGGTGGAATCCTGCCAGTATTGTCATGCTTTTTTAAATGTATTTTTGAGTTTCATCTTAAACTGAAAGCCTAGCCATTTAGCTTCGTTTGAAGGAATATGTGTGGCAACACAGAACGTTGAGGTGGTATAGGGCATCGTTTAACAGGTGGCAAAAGCATTCCACTGTCGTAAATTGTCATTCCTCGCGCGGATTTCGATCGGTATGCATCCCTCTACGAATGCGAAACTCGCCGACTCGAATTTTATCAGTGTGGCTGCGGCTAAAACGGAGCAGCTACTAAAATGAGGTGCAATGAACGATTTCCATATACCTGCTTTCATTTGCAACCCTGTATATAAAATGAGTGTTGGCTAGAATGGTGCGTACCTATATACTCGAATTCTTCGCGGGGAATGACAGTTCACGCTAGTAAAATGCTTTTATATCCCGCTCAACAGAGCTCTGTACCACTTCAACGAGCAATTTGGACACACATTTTCCGTTACAAAATCTGTTTAATTCCATCCCTTATGCGTGTCTTTACATTTTTGCCAGATATTTTCCAAGCACTTTGCATACACACAGGGTTAGCCTAAATGAAATAGACAAATTTGAAGTTTTATGGAAACAACAGTACGGCTGAAATACTTGCAAGTTTAGAAGAATATATCCTGAAATTTATAGGATTAATACAAATGTTCTGTGTGTGATCCTTTTATAACACAACATGTATCAATTGGATAACCCGTGTATTCTTAAACACGCCTCAGAATGTTGTGCCATCAACCATAGCAGCTGTTTCTATGCATTGTCTAAGATCGTGTAGAAATCTTTGTCCTTGCCATAACCCCCCTAGAAGTAGTCACATATCATTATAACCGGACTTCTTAATAACAACATACCAAATCTATGATGTGGTCTGTTAAACTGCTAACCAGAAGCCAAAGCAAATTTTCGCCTTTTCCATTGTAAGAAATTTTCTCCTTCCTAACTGCTTCTCTTTGTGATGTAAGTGGTTTCACGTCCAGCTAGTAATCTAAGGTACGGAGTTCGAATACATAGAAGGCACCTTTCCTCCTCCAAAAATTCAAAATAAATCTACTAAAAATGTTGTAGATGGTAATCCGTCACTACCTGGATTTAGAGACCTGGCCCCGCCCTCTCTCCCAGTCGTCCTATTAGGGAAGCAATGTAAAGAGTTTTATCTCTTACTGCGTGTGGTGCAACTGGTAGCACGTCTGGAAGTCCGGAGTTCCAGCTCCAGCGAGGGCATCGGTGATTTTTTATGCTTCCCGATCCGGTAACGATCTGATCGTTTTATACTTTCTTTCGAAATGATACTTAAAAACAGCAATAATTTTTTTTTTGTGCCTAAAAGAGCACAAAAATATTTTTTTGTACTTAATTATCCTCCACATGCCTCTGTTGCCAATATATATAAATATCAGTTAGGACATAAAGTAAGAAATTTAGAACTAATTTTTCACAAAGACCATAAATTAAATTACATTTCAAATATCCGTAATGCAAAAAAAAAAAAAAAAAAAAGATTAAAAAAATGTTAAAACCAAAACTTTTTTAACAAGCAATGCCCCAATTAAAAAAAATAAAGAAATGTAAAGAAAAAAAGAACAAAATAGAGGAGTTCAATCAACTTTAATGCCACTTCGTCAGAAAGAGGAACATTGAAATCAATTGAAATCTCTCTTCCACAAATATCCTTGCCTTTCTATATCCAGAATTAGCCGATGAACCATTTCAGCGTATTTTAATTATAATAGTTCACCCGAAAATACTGGCTCCTCCCCAAAGCAAGGGAAAGGCAAAGTAAATTCTAATTAGAATCGTGTACCTTAATATCAAAAAGAATTCTTGTTAAAGAATGAAAACATAAGTGAAATAATAAAATATTTCAGTGAAAAATTCAAATCAAAATTTTAGCTTTAAACAAATAGCATACAATCCAAAGAATTTAAAACGTATGTGAAATGATAAAGCTTTAGTGAAAAGACTTGATTAAAACTCACAAGAAGCAATTAGAAACTTCAAGCACTTTCATTAGAACACAATCGAAACTATGAAGATCGTTACAGTAGGTGACGTATAGGTTTGCCAGTTTTGCTTCATTGGCGATATTAAAATACCTTGACGAGAAAGGTAATCGTTCAAAAGGCTAAAAATTGGAACAAAAGATGGAATTTGAAACCAAAAGAAGAACTTTTAAATACTTCTCTGAAAATTTTAATTTTGACAAAGAAAAAGATTACTAATTAAAATGAAATTTAAGTAAATTCTGACGCTTTTAAATTAAGAATGGTAACAAAGAATATCATTCAGTGTAAAACTTTAATTAAATTTTAAAATCAATTATTCTTCAAAAATAGGAGACTCAAAAGAGTACCCCAAAAGTGGTCAAAAAGTTTTTATAATGTTTTGTAGATATGTGTAGAAAAAATCCATAAAGTTGAATTTTTTATTTTTTTTATTTAAAATTACAGAAAAAGGTTGAAAAAGGCAAATAAAGGAGCTATTGTTAAAAAAGTAAAAAGTCTTCATATCATGGACTTATCATGAAAACTTTGAATATATCTATATATATATATATATATAGATATATATAAAGAAAGCAATAAAATATATAGAATATATATTATTCAAGATTGGTAGACTATATAAAAGAAAGGCGCAAATTAAAACAATTTGAAGCAGAAACTTGAAAAAACAAACGGGAAATAATTGTAATTTAATGCAAAAGCGAAACTAACCATTAAAATTTCATTTGAATATTTTGCGATTCATCTAGATCTAATTCAGAAATTTGGCTCTTTCGATAATTCTTTCGGTTGCTCCTTGAAAAAGACAAAGAAAGAAACCACTTTTTTTTAGTCTGTTACGTTTTTGTATTAAATTACTTTTATTTCAGGTTTATTTTCAAAGGTTTTGCTTCAAATTGTTGCAATCTGTACCTTTCTGTTGGATAGTTTACCACTCTTGATTGACATATATTCTATATATTTTTGTCTTTTTCTTATTTGATTAATTAATTTTAAGCATTTTTCTCAACATTAATAGTATGTATTTCATTAAATATTCTTTAGTTTTTGGTCTTTGTCTCTCTCCCTTTCTCTCTCCCTATATATAGATATATATATATGTCTCTCTCCCTTTCTCTCTCTCTCTAGTACATACTTAAGTGCAACCACATATATAAATAGTGTAGACAACGTTACAAAAATAGTTCAAATAAGGAGACTTGAAAAGCGCTGCTCTAGATTGTGCAAACCTTGTTAAATTACATTTGCCACAGAGCCTTGCTCTAGCTTTCCAAACTATATGAAATATGATCATGTATGAGATAAAAAAGGATGTTAAGCACACGACCTGTTTGTGTAATATTTTCTTTACTAAGAACTTATTCACTGAACAAAATTGCATTTCGTGTTTCCTTTATTCAAAATTATTATTTTTATATTTTTTCTAAGCGAATTGAATCCTCTTTTTTCGGAGGTGTAAAATATTTTATAGATAACTGTACTTGTATGCTTCATACCTGTTTTTACTGATAGTCTGATAGTCTATAAACATTTCTCCCTTTTTACTGAGCGCCTTCATGGCGCCATTGGAAAGCACGTCCAACTAGCAGTCGGAAGATCCGGAGTTGGAGTCCTAGCGAGGGCACTGTACTTTTCTCATGTATCCTGCTTCCACAAATTCAGTGATTCTACAAGTGACGCGGACGATAATTCGTCACCGCCAGTATTTGGCGATTGGATCTTCTCCTCCCCTGACGCCCTTTACGTGGCGGACTCTATAAGGTTTTCCTCTCTCCTTACCTCGGACCTTTGTGGTTATAACTAGAAAGTACGTCTGGCTAGCAATTAGAAAGTCTGGAATTTAAGTCCCGGCGAAGGCACTGCACATCTTTCACGTCTCCTACTTTGACAAATCCACTTATTCTACTTGCAATAAGTAACAAGGGTACATTAATAGTACATCCATGAAGGGGTACTTATGTAGAACGAGAACATATTTTTTAAGGATGTTCGTAAACTATGCATTTCTTTAAAGACACTTTTTACTTTAACGCGGAAAGTTTACGTTTAACTTTTTACAGAATTAATTCATGAAACAGAAATGGATGGACTTCTAAGAAGCAAAAGATTGAAATATTGCTTTTATATTAATTCTTATACCTATCAATAATCTTATTAATCTAATTAATTAAATATATCAATAATTAAAATGAAAAGTCATATATCAAGAAAATATTTTAAAAAATTACATAGAAATGCATACAATTTAATGTGCCCATACTGCTGCAAATTTATGTTTACAAATTTCCGAATTTCAAGGAATGAATTTTAAGTTGGACGAAAATATTTTTCAATTTTTGTTTTTAATTCATTTTTTTTCTTTTTGATACTTATCTCATAATGCTTTCGCTGTGATACGGATATATGTTTTATACTGAATCAATGAAGTCGTTAATATATCTTTCTTCGTCCATTTCGCATTTCACTGATGTTCTTAAATGCTGGAAAGAAAGAAATTTTTACCTTTGAAACAGTTACAATAAGCAAAGTTTAAATAAGCATTCCAACCTTTACTGAAACAATGCAGGAATTCCTCATAAATTCTAAAAGCTGCTGCTAGAAGGAATTTGTTTCGATCACTGGTAAAACCCAGGTTTCGTGGTACATCAGCCCAGCGAAGGGCTTGTTTCAGTTACAAAAAAGTTATCTATCTTCCTCATATTATTTTTTGTTGTTTATAGGGAATCAAGTGCTTCTAACGTAGAGTGTAACATGTGATAGCAAAGTTTCTTAGAATTCTAAATGTTTGAATTATGTTTTCACCTATGAGGATTTTGTTTAGACCTAAAACTAAACAGGAGATTACTTTCATTTCTTATTCATGGCGGAAAAGACTCTATTGCATGATATTATAAAATTAAGAAATCCCTTATTTCTAATATATTTGTGACTGTAATCCAAAGTAGGAATTGTTGTCAATCCTGGGTTAATTTAAAATTTGTTAAAAGAAAATTTTACCATTCCTTGTAAGTTGATACTTGGAGGATGAGGAAAATACGTGAAAATGTAAACTAATTCTATTCAGACTGTTATGGCAATCACCCTGATCATTGCTAATAGGAATTTTTCTTATACTATACGAAATCAGAAAACGACGTCGAGCACTAGGTTTTTTTTCAACAGTAAAGGTGCAGGGTTATTCGTTAATTAACGTTTTAGAACTTGCTAAGACTGTTAGGCGATTTATTGCATCTTCTAAGCAGCTAGAGACTCAGAAGAAGGCTTCAACAAACTCTTTATTTAAATTTAATAGATGCATGGTTTGGGCTTACAATTTAAATATTCGCAGCTGGCAGGATTTCAGATGACACAAAATACGAATTAAAATTCAGAGTAAAATTAATGCTGGAGATTCCTAAAGTAGAATCCTAACAAGTGTTATTTCAGTTCGAACTACTTCTAAATGCGAGAGTGGTTTAGCTTGCGGAAAGGCTAACTTAAGTCTCCGAACTCTGCGAGAAAATATTCCAACGGTCAATGTCGCTTCCAAAGCTCTGTGTCTATCTTTAAAGAACTCTGTTCTTATGTGCAAGTATCCCAATTACATCCTTGTGAGAACTAACGAAAAGTGAAGTGGTAGTGCGGTTCGAATAAAAAGGTAACGGATTAATTAATGAAATACTGTACAGAGGAAATCTTGACCCCCTTTAATAAAGAAAGAAACTCCGCCTTTGCAGGTATCCTTTCATTTCTTTTGATGTCTTCTCTGTGGAAATATTTCAAGAACTGAGTAATTTGTTAAAAGCTAGAGTGGAAAGGAGTGGAGTCAAAATTTTTGAAAAGGTAACGCAAGTAAAATACTAATTACATATTGAGCAATATTTTTTTAGTACTAGAAGTATATTTATGTAGTGTTAAGCCTGCTGGAAAAAGGAAGCTTTCTTCAAGATATATGGGCCTACCAGCGGCCGAGCGGTAAAGTCGCTGAACACTGGTAGTTCGGTCCGAGGTTCGAATTCCGCAAACGGGCTGGCTACATGGGCGTTTTCGTGGTTTTCTCCATGTGTAACGTGTATACGAGTCAGTTTCCCTCAGAAAGTCCACCACGAAGGCATCCCTCCCCTTAGGCAGATAGCTCTCGAGGCTTTGCCATAATCACAGACACATTAAGATATATGTTTCTGTATAAATTACAAATATGCGATATTAAAAAATATATTTTTAAATACATGGTACTATAAAGTTTAGGTAACCTAAATTAAACTCATATATGTGACAATAAATATACGCGTGCAGTTAAAGCTAACCTTTATATTCATTAAAAAAAAGAAAGATTTCCGACATTTCTTTTATGAAAATATTACGTTTCTAATGACAGTGTTTAAGACATTTTATAACTTTAAGATTAGAAAGGAGTTTTTTTTTTTTATTTATTTAAAGAAATGGATGGAAAAGTTAAAATTTGGCCTCAATATTAGCGAATGTTTATACGTGAGGTATATACCAAGCTTAGACTACCCAAGCGTAAAAGTCTGCTATGACATACATTTAGACTGGAAAGTGCAGTATGATGGGAAGAAGGTCATTAGCATTCAACTAATAGTTTTCCTTTTTTTTAGGCACCGATGATGGTGAAACTGCTCAAGCTCAAGAAACTGCTATGTGCAATCTTCAGTACGTCTCAATGGATCTGAATAAGATTCTGGGGAGGACATAGCTACATTGTTAAGCATTTCAAACCGTATAGGGGGAACGTGTGTAAGATATATAACTATTGTATTTTATGGAAAGGGAAAATATTTCCAAGCCTGAAATAAAATATCTCTACTTCATTCTCTGATCGAAGACATTTTGCATCATAGTTCCAATCTTACATATAAGGAAAATTACACAAATAAGATTTATTTGTATAAAAGGATAAATAAGATTTATTTGTATGTACTTATTTACATATATATAATATTTTTTCTAATTATGTATACATATATATTATATATACATAGATGTAATAAAAAGTCAGTGTCATAATTTCAGTTTCAGTTTGCTTTTTTTACTTATTTTAAGAAGTTTTCAAAACTTGTTTTGTAAAAGAATGAGTTTATTTATTTTGAACATTAATAATAACTTGATGTTAGACTGATAAATTTGGATAAAAGAAGTATTTAATGTTACAATGAAAATATTTTGGACATTGAGTTATCAAGTGCGCGTTATATATATGTACGAGTATATATATATGACTATTATGCATAGTGCAATAAATGTTACAAAACAAATTTTTGTCCTAAACTATTTGTTAGATTTGATCTTATAATTTCTAACATACTAAAGTTTAAACTTTTTAAAGTTTTTGTTTATACATATCATGTAGCCTGAAATAAAGTGCTTTGCATTTAGAAAGAAACAGCTAAATAAACGTGCAGCGAGAAAGCGAATGGAAAAAGTAGTGTTGCTTTTGTTTTCTATTTTGACATGCCTAGTTTATTTGCATGGCATTTATAAAACATGCATTAACTGTATGGTTCTTAAGAAGTTTTGAATTATGAGGAATAAAATATTTTTTCACAGTTTTAATCTAGCAGTAATATTTCAATAAGAAACGTACTTGCTATAAAATACATGAAAACTCTTAAAATGGAAAAATTCAAATGAAACGACTTTTGCGATTGGAATATTTAAAGAATTTGAAATATCTGAAATGCAAGCAAGTATAGCATTTCTGAATGATTTCATAATGTAAACTGGAGCCTTAATCTAGACAACAGATAATATTTTAAAGTATATTTTAAAATAAGTGTTTCACAGATAATATTTTCAAGTATATTTTAAAATAAGTGTTTCACAGATAATATTTTAAAGTATATTTTAAAATAAGTGTTTCACAGATAATATTTAAAGTATATTTTAAAATAAGTGTTTCACAGATAATATTTTAAAGTATTTTAAGTGTTTCACAGTAATTTTAAAAGTATATTTTAAAATAAGTGTTTCATAGATAATATTTTAAAGTATATTTTAAAATAAGTGTTTCACAGATAATATTTTAAAGTAAGTAAAATTTTCCACTCTGAATTATTAACACAGAAACAATAATATATATTTTCAATTAAATTTGCTCAAACAAATTTGAATTTTGATCAAAGTATTATTATGAAATAAATAATAGATGCCATATTTAGTTTTTTAATTTGCTCCATTTTACCCTTAAATTTACCGCCTGAAATTTGAGAAGGTAAAATTGCACGATGTGTAATGTCAGGGGATTGGTATAAAAGGAAGAAATTAAAAGATTAAAATTCATGGATGAATAATAGATGTACTTAAGTTTATCATAATATACATTTCTAAAAATCGGTTGCAATTTGTTTTCAGTATTAGCAATCATTGTTTTTACATACTGCACTTTGCTAAACATCCATGCGATACATATTTTTCCATTAATGAAAAGTTCCTTAATCCTATCATAATTTCTAATCCTAAGTCTAACGTGTAAAACATGCGAAGAAAAAAATAAGCTTGTAATACTACATTTATTACAATTTTTTAAGTCAAAACACAAATAAATAAAATAAATTGAAATATTTATTACTATTATCTAGTTCACAAAACATTTGACAGATATATAGTTAATGATATTTACAAAGGTTTCAGAAGCTCTGTAACTTCTATCATATAGCAAAGCAAAGACTTGCATCAATAGTGCTATCATTGAAACGATACAAATCAGTTAAAATATAATACATGATTCCGTCTGGAATTATGCCCAGTTTCTCAATTTTTCTCTCATATTGAAGCAGATTTTACGGCAAAATCACAAAACATTTTAATCTCACAATTCATTTTCTAATATAATATGTTGCTGAAATACTGGAACATAAAAGCAGTACCAATCTGATGAGAGTAATTTTTAAAGGATATGAAAAATTCAATTCTTATCGACATGTTTGTTGCATCTCGCGGGTAAATCTATGAATTGCATAATTAACATGAATTTAAAATCAATATTCAACAAGGTTGTCGTGTCATACCAAAAAAGAAGTCCAAAACTGCTATTTAAAGAAAACTTATGGTTAAATTGAATAAAGAAGCATTGCAAAGGAAAAGTAAACTCCATGTATTCGTTTTCAGCTTCTACGTTTCGCAAAATTCGATGCAACTGTGAAATTATACTTTCGTTTTTAGCTTAAAAATTGTGCATAATTATGCAAATTACTTTCCTCTGAGTGTAAAACTTAAGTGAATTTCGGTACTATGGCTATTAAAACTGCATTGCGTTTTAAGCAATCACCACCATCCACCGTGACCACCACCATGTCCTCCTCCTAATCCTCCATGTCCTCCTCCTAATCCTCCATGTCCACCTCCCAATCCTCCATGTCCTCCTCCTAATCCTCCATGTCCACCTCCTAATCCACTTCCTCCCCCACCACCCCCTGTTATGACAGTAAGATGTTGAACCACTGGTACATGCTTTACAATTGGCACATGTTTCACAACTTTTACATTTTTCACAACTGGAACGTGTTTAACAACTGGTACATGCTTCACTATAGGCACAGTTATAACATCTCCGCCACCTCCTAATCCTCCGTGACCACCGCCAAGTCCACCATGGCCACCACCGTGACCACCTCCTAAGCTAATATGACCCCCACCAAGTCCACCATGACCACCACCGTGGCCACCGCCCAAGCCACCATGACCACCACTTAATCCGTGACCTCCATATTCGCCAATTTCATGAGCAATGAGAACTTTTCCACCTCCACCATGACCCAATATTAATCCACCTCCATGACCTCCTCCAATTCCTTTGTGGCCTCCTCCGTGTCCACCAATAAAACTTGCTCCATGATCCAGTTCATCGTCGTGAAAAACGAAACCATGTCCACCTCCGCCTCCATGTCCGCCATGAATTATTCCACCATGAATGGAGTAAATGAGGGGCAAAATGATCAGGACAAAAAACTGAAAAGGGAAAAAAAACTAAATTAGCATTTTTGAAATCATATGTAATTTAGATAGCGCCACTGAATTAGAAATATCGAGCTTTCTGCGATTTCCATAAAAATCAAAACAATTTTCAGAGAGCAAATATAATTCTTGCTCAATCGTTTCAAATAACAAATTGAAGGATATGAAGATGCTGCTGTGATATCTCACTTCTAATAAATGATTTTTTTATGAAAATTTCACCTTAAACTGAGCTTGCTATTTATAGATCTCTAAATCTGTTTATTTATTCTCGCGACTTCCTTAAAACAACTTCAGAAATCGAATACTTAAACAATCTTTCTTTGCACTAAAACTCCTATATATTTAATATGTATATGTGTATTCTAAATCATTCTTTAATATAAGGTACAGTTCTGTTAAAAACGTTTTTAACTATAAGAAAAGGCTCATCTTATTCCAATAAAAAAGATGCTACTTTGCAAATATACTCATAATTGCTTTGTATGCTTTTGCATGTTTGTGTGCATTTGTAAATTATTTGGCCATAACTGCACATGATAAATTTATAATATTTGCAGGAATTTTGATTGATTTAAATCTTTGACTTCGGTATTATATGATACCAGGTATAAAAGCAGACAGTACCACACACAACTTTAAAGCAATTTGAGGAGATAATTATAGTATTGCAAAATAGGAATTCTTGTTAAGGCCGAATTAAGAAAAGGTGAAGGAACAAGGACACTTTCAAACGGATATTTCAAATAACAAATGTCTGTGATTCGTCTTGTTGATATAAATATGCCTGTACATAAATAGTTTAAATTTTTAATTAAATGCATATGGATTCATTTTTTCTGAGAAATAATTTCAAACGGTAGCCAAGTTTAAGAAACACTAATCATTATAAATTCCAGATATTTGAATTACCGAATAGTTATGCATATTTTGCCTTTTGAAATCATGTAAGAAAAATACGCATTTTAGTTTGAGTTTTATTCTATAAATAGTTAAAGGTAGTCAAACATATAACTTAAAGTAATGAATATTAAAAAAGAATTTAAATTGATTCTCTTGGCATTTAAGACTTTTGATATTCTGCTAAAAAGCTGTAAATGTGAAAATTCTAATTAATTTTTAAAAAAACTTTACAGCTAATAATACATTAACGAGCATACAACGACTTAATAAATGTAAATGCGTTTAATAACATAAACACAACTAGATTGAAAAAAAATGTGTTAGACGAAAAGAAGTAGGCAATCGAAAAATTCCAAATTAAGAAGATGTGGGAAACTTTGTAGTTTAAGATTTTGTAGAGCATATGAAGTACAGTAGTGAGTACAGTAGTGATCATCCATATCAGAAGAAATATTCAGCAAGAGAAAAATGCAAGGTGTTTTATGCAGTGAAGTACCGCTTATGCATTTTGTACATTTATACGTTGTTTCATCTCTGCCGGATAAATTTTTATTGATGTCGATAGTAAAGCATTTCTTTCATACAATGCATAGCTTCGGTTACATGTAATTTTACTCCTGGATTATTCATGGACATTTCTTTTCGCAGTGCAAATAGTTACTTCGGAATTCGTAAACTGCAAAGGGATATGCGAGAAGGGGGGACTCGAATTCCACAGCGAAATCTCGTGTTTTATCTTGAGTGGATAATTCGATTCATTTTACCAGTGAATTCTTGAACCAGTCTTCAAGAAGCATCTACTGCAGACTGGTTGAAGAAGCCATACTATACAATGAATGGATATTAGCAGTAAAACACGTTTAATATTGATGAAATGAGTCTTTTTTTTTTCAATTATCGCCTGAAAAATGTCTATCCTTTAAAGATGATTAATAGGTAAAGAATTGTTTCATAATCCTGAGCTCATTCTTGAGGTGTAAGTGTTTATTGCCTCCAGCTGTCACTAGAAGAACAGTGTGGACATTGCTATTTTTTATATTTTCTGCCATCCTTTCTCCAAAATAAAACAAGAAGTACTTACTGAGTGATGGGATCATGAATAATAAAGATCCCCTCAATAGTTTCCTCTGATAATGGATGGAAAAGATGATAATCTCTAGTTATAGGGAAGTCACGGATGTTAAGATGCTTCAAAAGTATTTAAACGTTACAATTATGGTATAAGCGAATAAAATGCATGAACGATATGCCATTTTAACATAACGCTTAAGAAAATGTACAAAACGGTGAGAAGATAAAACCGTAAAAGTTTATTTTTCATGGATTATTATATCTATCGCCCATTGTTAACCAATGACTTTTAAAAACTGTAGAATTGTTTCTTTATCCACTAATTTATACGACTACATTGCAGCTATAAATTATGTCACATTACTCTCTAGATGCATTTGCTCAAAAGAATGTGCAGAAAAATGGTTGAGGTGATTGTACTCATATAAGAATATTCAACTAGATCTCCCCTAGTTTTAAGTAAAAATATCTTATAATTCCAATTATTTAATGATAGATCAAATTGCAATGTGTTTCTCAAATATTTTACATTTTCAGAAAAATGTTTAATACTTAAAAATTTTAAAATGATGCTCATTACTAAAATGAATAAAAAATAAAATTCATTCAAGCATTTAAAAGTGTATACAAAAAGCAATAACTTGCAACACCTAAAACACTCTGGCTTTGGAAACAAGTGACTTTTTTAGCACAGTTCTTACACGCAGAGCAAACGATGCAGAAGTTAAGAAAAATACTTTTAAATATCTTTTTGGTATTTTTTAAACATATTTCTTTCAGGTATATTCTAAATTCTGAAACTAGTTTGAAAACGGACTTGTTTGTCTTAAATTATGGAACAAAGGATTATTATTTTTTTTTCAGGCCTGAAGTGAATATTAAGGTGACATTATGTTTCTAATTATTAAATAGCAATACATGCTTAACGTACTTTAAAACGCACTATAATGTGATTAGCGCCATTTAAGCAAAGTTGTTAAAGAGAGGCTAAATAGCTTTTTATTTCCAAAGTTTTTCTGTTATCTCGGAAATATGGTACAAACCATTAGATTATATTTATGTCGGGAGAAAGATTGCATAAATCGGTACTCTACAAAACAAATGATAATGAGCGAGCTAACATTAAAGGTGTTTTTGTTAAGGCTATACGTTTTCTACGTCTAATTCTAAGCTCAAAATTAAACAAGAAAACTATTTGTTAAGACATTAACAATAAAAGAATTATTCACAATATACAGAATAAATATTAGATTAAAATGGTCAAGCATGATTCTCTATTCATTATTAGTTCTATAAGTTTCAAGGAAAGAAGTATTTTATTATTTTCATAATCATAGAGATAAAACATCATTACTCAATTACTCAATAGACATGGTATTTTGAAGGAAATTTTGCCTTCTGCTCTTAGTTTGAAATGTTTTTAAGATAAATACTGATTACGTAAATATATTTATATATACATATAAAAACACAGACTAAAGCTCATTAGCATAAATAAAATCAGATATCTAGGCATTGGACTCTGAAATCCTTTGCTTGAAGTAATGAACTAATTTAAAAATTTATCTTTACTTAAAACATTGCTTCAAGCTACGAAATCCACACATACTATTTTTTAAGATACAGTTAAGAAATCAAAAGCATAATATTTTTCTTTTGAAATAATGGCAACTATTCCTTCTTGATTTGAAATCTGCCAAAGATTATCTTATGCTGTTTAATAAAATCATGAGTTTTGAAATTTCAGAATTTTAATATGTATACTATGTTATATTTTATCGTTATTTAAAGATAATTGCTGTTGCTCCTTGTCTTAACTGATTTGTTGAGAACCTAGAGTTACAAGAGATGGAACAACTTACCACTGAATTCATTCTCCACTTTTCCTAAGCTGCTGAGGTATTACTTTCCCTTAGGTTATAAAGAGTTGTTTGTGAGGAGTCAGAAGCTTTTGAGATGATTCAAGGATTAGGCGCTTACTTTTTATACTCAGAGAGAGTTTAAGGATGTTCGACTAATGTGAAATGATCCATATCGGACCCGCCTCTCCCAATCCTTCCGAGCGATCTCTGGTTGCTACGATAATAGTTTTCCATCCTTCCTGTCCTACCACCCTTCTATTTGAAGGAGTGAGCTAAATTTTAAAAAAGAGAAAACCGAGCATCCACTTATAATTAGTTACAAGTTTAAAACAGATATCTGATCATATCTTAACTGTGGTCATCAGGGGTGTAGGAAGTAAATGAAACAAAGGATATGCTCAATTTATTCTTCATGCAAAATACATTTAAAAATGAGCCGTTGTAAGGGAAAAAGATAACAATGAATGCATAAAGATAATAAAACTACGAAAAAGCATGAAAAAAAATTGGGAACACTTTCGATAAAAATACGTTGTATTTCTTCTCTCATTCAGCGTATTTGAATATGTTTTTTGATGAACCATGAAAAACTGATATACAACACAGGGTTATTTTACTACGAGTTAGTTTTACTAAGTACAGCAAAAAATATTAAGTAACATTTAATGCGAAATGTGTAAATGAAGGAAATGTGGAATATTTAATCTGGCATAGATAGCCATCGAACTGGAATAATTTTAAGTGACCAAAATACATGGCAAGCAATGCTTGAAATAAAAATATCACCAAGCTGAAAAAAAGCTTCCTTTTTCTTCATGCATAGAAATATATAAATTTATTATATATTTCATAATTAATGGAAAATGAGTTTTTTCCTATTTGCATAGAAAATACATGTATATATTATAATTACTTACATATATGTTATAATTACTTACATAATATTATAATAATATACATCTACATCTACCTAGCTATCTATCTCTCTCTATATATATGAGATAATTATCAACTAAATATGCTTACATAAACTTCGGTTCTGGAATTAACATTAATTTAAACATATGCAGGTAACAATTGTAACACATTTACATAAACGGTTACTATAGACATATCTACCTTTACACAGGGCACGAAAGTTGTGTCACACTAGTCTAAATGATTGCGATATTTTTAGAAACATTTTATGCAATTTCAGATGGCAGATTTCCTTTAGAATTTTAGAATTAACAAAGCATGAAGCTAAAGTAATATATTTATTTTTTAGAAGGAAATTTGTATTTTGATTAAAGTATTAAAGATAAAATCATTATAGTGTGTAAATATCCTGATTAATGCCCTCATAAAATTAACGTCTTTCTTGTGTGTGCTTTACTAGTCAAGTAAACAGTATTTAAAAGTAATAATTTGAGCATTAGTATTTTTTAGTTTTAGAGGAAAATATAAATGTCAGTTAAATAAACGAAAAGTGTGATACATGAAATTTGTTTTGACAGAAATTAGATAATCTATCTGAATCGAATATTATTTAATTTATTTAAATATGGGCCTTGAGAATCTGAGATTATTTAGCGGAATAATAACCATATTTTAAGGGAGGAAAATCGGCTTTAGAAAGCAGATGCGCAGTCATATAATCTCAGAAAGTTTTAAAAACATTATTTATCTTAAACATTTGCTCTTATATAAGAAAATGGCAAGCAGATGGTATGAATATTGTCCAGGATAGATCTGATCGCAAATAAATAATTTTTAAGTAATTTAATTCGAGGAATCATATTTTTTTAAATTTTGTGATACGAAACAAAGCAATGTAACAAAACCCGTGTACCGATTTTATAAGCAGACAAGTTTTTGTTTGTTATGAAGCAGCATGAAAAAAAAAAGCATTTGAACTTGCATTGCGTTTCAAAAAATAGTATGAATTTATACGTGAACAATAATCTTATTTTTACTACTGATATGAGACCCTATAAATCGCTCAATTAGCAGAATCAAGCAAAGTTAATAGCAGAAACAGCAAAACACGTTATATTATTTAAAATATTTTATTGTGTGATTTAAAGCCATTAAATTTTATAATATGTTCACTCTCACAGATATTTTAACGAATACGTAAACTGGTATGTTGAACTAATAATTTAGAACTCAGTTTTATCCTTTTACGTTCATTTAAAAACCTAATTAAATCTTTGTAAAACGTTATATGTTTAAAAAGTGGTAGAAATTCTAAGAAATTTCTTCTTTCTTTCTTTTATCTAAGCTGCATCAGGCTTGTTGAACATCAGTCTCAACATCTGATTTTTACTCGTGACAAGAATAATGAAGGTTCAGGTGCTTTACTGACAACGCTTCGTTGCTTTTGGCATACATTCGTTACTCATCTGAGAGCATTATCATAAAAATAATCCTCCTTCAAGCGTCAAAGTCTGAGCGTATATTCAACTTGTTCCTTTAGTAGCTATGATAAGATTTTTACTACTGAAGCTGTTGTTATTTTTAAAATATTTCTACAAGCATTTTAACGTGATTAAACATAGTTAATTTTTTTTAATTAAATAAGGTTTTAACATTTAAAAATTCAAAAGGGATTTTTAAGAAAATGGAAAAAAAATTAAATTTACGAGACAGTTTTCATTTGTCTAGGCTTGTATTGCTGATTCAGGCCTGCATATCTTTGGAAAGTTTTTAAATGTTCAATAAACACAGCAAAATCATTATTGTGCAGATTATTGCTAATCGAGAACAGATATATAAACTGCTATACCGCTCAGCATTTTATAGTAATCTTGAAAAACATGAGCTTTGCAAGAAAAATAAAAGTAACTCACATAATGGGAGTCTACAGTGTTAAATTTGTCATTGTATTTGTCAAGCAAATTCAGATTTCCAGATTTATTTGATATGTAAGGTCTATCACAGCTCGCTGCAATTAAATGCTCTACAGGCTGTATGGTATCGAAAAAAAATCGTGGATTAGAATCTAAAAATTAACAGAAGTTACTGCGATAATCACACTTGTATATGTATTTCAAGGAATTCAGAATGTTCTCCATTTTCATTACGAAAGATGCGTTCCCGGAAGAACACCTCATTTAATAAGATTGACGGTTTTTATTACAATGGTATAACAATGTTAAATGAATAACATTGGCATTTAAGCAATTGTCTAGTAATCAAATGTTACCAGTGGATCTCAGAGTACACCGAAATTTCCCAGGCAAAGCATTTTTCAAGTGAAACTTCTCTGTCTGCTTACTGTGTGTGAAAACACTATCAGTAACACAAGAAAGTGCTTCTGAATGGAAAATATTTCTCTTGAAATAAGTGACAACTTCTCTGAGAATTCCTTCTCTAAATGTCTGTTTTAAGGTTTTTAGAAGAAAGGCTTTTAACAGAAGTTATTTTTCCTGAGAAAAGTTACAGAAATGTGCACGCCAGTGAGACGATTTCGAAGAAATCACTTAAATCGTCCGAACCACAAATAACACACGGAAGTGAACTGGTATCGAACGTATTCAAATAAATTTAGCTGTGACAAACTTCGCAGGGAAATCTGTGACAGCGCTGAAAATGTAAACATCAGCAACAAAGCTTATTAAGATACAATAACACGCCGAACAAATATTAATTTAGAAGTCAAACAACAAAAGTCAGCGTTATATTTTCAAATTGTGAAAATATAACGCTGATTTTTGTTGTTTGACTTCTAAATTAACAAAGCTTATATCTGCTGCCATCTATCCCAGTGAATGCCATCTATTCCATCATATTTTGAAAGTGGTTATGGATACGTATGTTGACACAATACCTAGTCAGAAAGTAGTATGAAAACATATTGTTACGAATCTTGTACATAGATAGATAATTTTAATGAAATTATATGTGAAATTGTTGTATTTTTATATATGATGTAACATGAAAAGCTGAGAGAAACGATGCTTTGTCGAGAAAATAAGACTACAGGGGCAAGTCTATTGAACATAGAGTAAATGACTATCTGGCTAAATTGGCGAGATACCACCAAGCTGAACAGGGTTTTGGCGACACTTTGGTCCGATCTCTGCGTCACCGTAATAGATATTGTAACTGTATCGTATGTAACTGTAACAATATTCGGCCCTCATATGCCTTTCACTAATTTCGAGAAGCAGAAAGTACTAGAAATATCTCGACGGCCGGGTGAAAACCTTACAAGACCGAAGACAGCATCAGTTTCTCAGTTGTTGTTAGTTGTTAGTTCAGCGTGAGTTCAGAGTACTGAGATAGCTCAGGGTTAGCTTCGTTCTTTACATGCGCTTTGCATTGCGTTGTGTTTAATGGTCTTAGTAGTTTGAAGTGTAACTACTGATTGTACTCTGCCATACTGTGAAGAGTTGTACGACTGTTTTTGTGTAAAGTTCCAGAACTGTGAAGTGTTACTTTGGACAATGTATAAGGTATTTCTCCCGCCCTCTTGCCATGCCTTCGTGGTGTGGTGGTCTGCACACTGGGTGCGTATTTCAGAAGTCCGAGGTTCGATTCCCGGCGACGGCATTGCATATTTTTCCTCTCTCTTGTTTCCAAAAAATCCTAATTTCTTTACAGTGGCGCCCGAACTAAAAGGGTGGTGGATGATGAATCTCCGCACCCAGGATTTGGCGATTGGGTTCCCTATAAACCCGAGTCGCCCATTAAAAGGGGGAGTATATAAGGTATTTCTCCCGCCTTCTTGGCGTACTTTCGTGGTGTGGTGGTCTGCACGCTGGGCGCTTATTTCGGAGTCCGTGGCTCGATTTCTGCCGAAGGCGCTTGCTGATTTTTCATCTTTTATGCTTCAAAAAAATACCTAATGTCTCTACAAAGCTATCATGAATGCTGTATGCATTCAATCTCTAACGTACTCGTACGAACACCAAAATATCAATCTCCAAGGCGAAAATAACAGCATATTATAAAAAGATCATGTTGATTTTGGTAATGTTCGAAGTAAACTCTTGATTTGTGATAACCACTAACGATGTGCGACGACTTTCTATTCCTTGTAACATAAGAAGTAATTTGGAGCTGTCAAATCTGCGAAGCGAGATGACAAAATCAAATCTCTAAAGCGAAAATTCAGACGATTT